ATATCAAGTTTCAGTGGGGAAGCGCTCACCGTAGCTGACCCGTTGGGTTGACTTCCTAGCCATCCAGAAACCACAACCCGACACTGCACTGCTCGGCCGTTATCACGGTCCGGCGCAGGGAATGTTGGTCGCCCACGGAGTTTCGAAGGTAGTAAGTACTAGTGCGTAAGATAGCTAGACTTCTTCAGTTGGCAAACCGGCCGAAACCCCATGTGGTAGATCCGGAGTACGTCTACCACTGAGATATAGAGTGTAGAGGCTGCCTTGTAATTTTTCACTTCTGTCGGTCTTGAAAGAGTCGTATAATTGTTAAATGTTGGAGTCTTGCGAACATGCGGAGGCTGTCACTAAACACTAAACTTAGCCGCGATAGCTTATCGGGTCACATGATTTTTGAATGGTCTCTCTATAAATAGATATCGATGAGTTGAAAATAAATAATACAGCCAGTCAAGCCTATTAGTCGGGAAGAATGCTGCAGAGCCCCTACAGCAACTCTGACTGGAGCTTCTGCTCGGTGTGATGGCCTTCCATCAAGTTCCACGCTCTCTGGTAGCTCCCAAGAAAAATCGCTCCTCCAATACCAATCCAGGCGACTCGAGGTCCGATCCCTTTCCAAAATGCGCTAGCACCTTCATCTCTCCATATTCCTTTGACTATGTCCCTGACTCTGACTTTTCCCATACCTGACTCAGGATTCCCGCCACGCCGGGCCAGCATCACTCGGGTTTTAACGACATCCAGTGGTGTTGTCAATCCCGCAGATATAGCCCCGGCAATACTTCCAAAAATTGCGCTCGACGTAGCAGATATACCAATTACCTTCGCACCTGGGTTTTTCTCTTTCTTCCAGGAAGCATACGCATCTTTCATCCCTTCCCACATAGTGAACTGTAGTATGGTAAAAGGAATTTCTCGGGCAATTGTTATAGAAGTTCCTCGATATAATTCACGGATAACCAGGAGTGACCCATTCTGACTCCCGTTTCCATGGCGTAGAGAGAGAATGTCCTTGAGGGCTAGCAAAGTCGAGCCTCCAAAGAGACCGGCTTGCGCTCGCTGTTTTATAACCTCCGTCGGTACGCGAACAGCACAAGCAGCAACTTCGCCTAAAGACGATGCAACGGAATGTGTAAGGAATGTGTGCTGCCATGGCACAGTCGAGGGCGAGGTGGTTGGGGGTAGGAAATATCGCTTTACGCCATCATAGACGACGAAGAAGCTCGCAGCTGATGGAGCAGATCCGAGCAGAACGGAGGGCAAACCAGCGTATATTCCGCGAAACGTCTGTCGTAAAACTTTTAGGCCATTGGCACTCCCATTCAATGAGCGCGCAACTGAAGATCCTTGTGTCTTATGTCGGGCTTGCTGAAGTCTAGTCTTGATGGTATCGAGAGGGAAGAGAGAAACGTCTACGGTGAGACCAGCCGCTGCTCCAGCCTATAAAATGAAAATCCAAGTCAGTTGGTTTGATTAGAGAATCGTGGATTAGTTAATATACTCACCAGAAGGGACCTAGTCCACAGAGCCGATTGTGTCGCGTGCGACTCATCCTTCTGACCTGCCATTGAATCTCAGGGCCTTTCAGTGGTCAAATATTACAATAGCAGCCCTGCACAAATGTTCATGTTGCCTACAGCATAGTAAGCCGAGCGAACATGTAAGGTAAACAGCTCTTATCCACTGTTGCGCGCGTTTTGATCCGATTCGATCAATTTCAAAGATTTTTTGTTCTTGAGATTTTGCCAGGATTTAGTTCACTCGTTAACCAGTTAGCCGCGAGCAAAAAGGGGGTCAAAGTCTACAGCCGCCGCACGCCATGAAAAGAAAACATTATCCGGTAAAGCCATGTATTTTATGGTTTGTTCCTAATGATACCCAATAAAGATCTTGGATTATGGGCAGTTACGTTCTCTTATCCGGATTGCCGAAATGAGCGGCTAAAGGTGTTTCCATAAGACTTTTCCTGAACCTTTAAGCGATCAACTATTTTAAGCGCGTGCGGGCTGGCGCTTATTTATCACGTGATATTAACCTACCCGCTTCGTCGCCGACAACAAGCCGTTGGAGATAAAGCGAAAGCGAATCATCTTCCACGCTCTCTGAGAGAGTCGAGAGCCAGATAGAACGATTCTTATACCCTTTTACTCTATGGAGATTCTTTGGCTTGGGATCTAGGCCCTAGGTCTACAATGGCTTCTAGCAGGAGTATAGGGGCGCTTGTGTCATCGCCTGTTAGTCCTCAAGAGTTTTACCGAGCTCTGACTGGACTATGGACAACCTGGCAAGGAGGTAAACATTTACCTTTACAACGAATAGGTGTGTTTCTGTTGTCCATTTGAGGTCCAGTGAAGGATATGCTTCACGGGCTGGTATAGAACGGAAGTTCTAAGAAGCATTATTTAGGTCTTGCCGTCAGTGGTGGAAGTGATTCAATGGCTCTAGCCTACCTTTGCAGTCAGCTAGTCACACAGAATCTTATGCCAGGCCTGGAAGTGAAAGCCTATATTGTGGATCATAAATATAGACCAGAAAGTTCTCAGGAGGCGCAGTCAGTTGCAAAGCGTGTGGAAAATCTAGGTAATCCACGCGTTACATTAGTAAACTTCAAGTCATTGGCATGCTAACATATCCTTTAGGTGTCCAGTCCAAAGTACTTACCTTGCAATGGCCTGAGGGTGGATTATTGACGAAAAAGGGATTTGAAACGCAGGCACGAATGCTTCGTTATCAGATACTAGGCAAAGCTTGTGTAAAAGATGACATCAGGGCCTTGCTATTAGGGCATCATCAAGACGATAATGTAGAGACTGCTCTCATGCGTATATCCAAAGGTCACAGGAAACTTGGTTTGGTTGGCTTCGATGAGATTGCGCCCATTCCAGAGTGCCATGGACTATACGGGGTAAGTAAGAGCGGATTGGCCACATCTCTACAGGGCATCCTAAAGAGCACTAATATGGATGAGACCATATCACACCCATCTTCCGAAATACCCTCTCGCTCCATGAATTTTGCTCCGGGGCAAATGCAAGTTTCTACTGGTGGAATATATCTTTTCCGTCCTTTCCGTTCTTTTTCGAAATCACGACTAGTAGCAACCTGCCAGGAAAACAAAATAGCGTTTGTCTCGGACTCCACGAATGAAGATCGCACATTCACTATCCGTAATACAGTACGACAATTGTTGAATTCGGAAAATTTGCTTCCACGTGCCCTACAGCGGCCATCCATTCTGTCGCTGGTGGATAAGTCGAGAGAACAGACTGAAAAATTCAGAGAGTTATGCGAATCTATCTTAAAGAAAGTAGAGGTCCTCAGCCTTGATACCCGCTTCGGTACCATGGTCGTCAAAATGCCAATGATGTCCGAGCTTCCGAAACATCAGATAAATGCGGTTCAGGCACGCACCCCTCTTCCTGATGGGGTACGAGATGTTTACGCATCAGTTCTGCGAAGCTTATGTGACCTTATATCACCACACCCAGACCGATGGAGCGCATTGTCACAATTCCGCAACCCTGCTTACAGGGCATTTTTCGGGCTAGATCCATCTGGCATGAATGGTACCGTTTTTACTGTAGGCGGAGTTTTGTGGCAAGCCATCAATCAGAAGACGGCATCAAAGTCCAACACTAAATTGCTTCTCTCAGATCTCCCAAGTCTCCAGAACCTCCCCGGTAACCTGCAGCTTCGAGATCAAGATTTTACACCGCTTTCTGCTAAACAAAATAATGTTTGGCTTCTATCAAGGCAGCCTATGCATTCAGGCAAACCACAGCCTACAATAAACTTTGCTTTGACAATACCGGACTACTTAGCAACGAAAACTAAACACGGGGTTATATTGCAGAAGAAAGGGCAAAAAAGCCGGCAGCAGGATGTCGGGAAATTCATATATACCGAATGGACCGATTGGAAACTTTGGGATAATCGATACTGGATCCGCATACGTGGCCGCACTAGCATTCAGCAATACGATCGTTCTCAAGAAAGACTTGGAAGGAGTGACAAACCCTTGGGGAAACAAAAATCAAAGTTCCCCAAATATTCGCCTAATTCTGAAATACCAATCCGTCTCCGCCCCCTTAGTCCAGCTGACTTGGTCAGGATTCGAAAAATACTAGGGGGAGCCGTAAAGAGATCATTAGATAGAGACATGGCAAAGGGTCATTTTATCTTGGATGAGGAACGTGAATCTCGTGCCCGATCCCGTCGCGACTCTCAGGACTCAGCACTTGTAACCTATTTAGCTTCTCAAAACCCAATATCCGCAACTACGACCTTAACGAGACCACAAGGTCCAGTTTTACCCATAGCACCATCTATGTTTCAGAAACTCCTAGCTCTTCTTGCTCCTGGGAAAATTCGGTTTTCTGCCCCTATCTTAACAGATGTGGCGCCAGAAATTAAAGACGATGAAAGTTTTGAGAATATACAAGATCAGCTTTTGGGGATGCCATCCATACCCATGTCCTTCCGGACAAAGATACGAGTAAGAACACCCGTTAGAGACACTGGTGGGGGAAGAGATGATTGTACTTTTGATGTACCTTGGAGTGTGGAATGGGAAGTGAGATACAAATGGATAGACCCGAATACCGTTCAGGCCGTATCTTGGAAAGCATTTGACGTGCCGTGTCAGGGATCGGGTGCTTCATAATGTGGCCTAATTCCGAAACAAGTAGGTTTCGTATGATATACTGCCATAATTAATCGAGAAGAAATGGATTGCTTTTAATAATTCATCCGGGAATAATGCCCCAACGACGATGTTAGTTCATATTAGATCATATGATTTATCATTCATTATGAAGAAAATAAACGTAAAAAAGAACTGAACAACCCCCACACAGTGAGATTTAATCCTAAACCCATATTTTATTACTAGTTCTACCATTGAACGCCAATTCTGACATACCAACTAGTGATGTACAGTAATCTAGGCAATCTTCATGCATATCTGTTGAAGGGTCATGGTCCAGGCTGCTCAACGCATATTAACTCGAGGGATCACCTATTTGTTGCGCTTTCAGCCCGCCGATTTCCCTTTTCAATCGCATGTTCTCCTTTTTCACACGCGCCACTTCATCAAGTGCATCCTTCAATTGACTTCGAAGTGCCTCTTCGCCAACACCAAGTCGAATTTCCCTGGCCATTTTACTTAGTTCGTTATTAAATCGCTCATACAATGCTTCGTTCTCTTTTCCAGCTTCACGATAAAGTTCATCAAGTTTTCGCGCTCGCTTTTCAGAGACCAGGAGGGAGTTCTCCAAATCGTTTTCAAGGCTGGCGGCCCTAGCACCAAGGTTTGAAGTTAATGCAGAGAGTTTGTTTTCAAGCATGCGAACCCTCTGCAGAAGGGCATTGGATGACGTAGAAGCAGGGGGTGAGGTAATAGGCCTTGCCTGGGGGCCAGCAGATGACAATGGCCGTCGTCTAGATGGAGAAGTGGACATTAATTCTTCGGTGACGGATGCAAGTTCGGCCTGCAAGGATGACTCTGCGGAAGCTATGGCCTTTCGTTCATTTAACACACGCTCGCGCAACTTTGGAAATGTTAGAGATACCCTGGACAAAATATAAGTCATGGGAAAAACGTACCTTTTGCGGTGTTTGCATCCGTAACTTTTGCGGTTTGGGGGGTGAATTTGACTGTGCTTGTAGCCTACGGCCGTAGCCATCACTGCTACTTGGTCGAGTGGGTTTCTCGCGCGGTCCAGCAATTTTAGACGGGGTTCCAGCCCGCGTGCTATCTGCTCTCCTCCGAAGTGGCATTGATATCGTTGAAGCATGCTGCCTCGTATTGGTTGATCGATCTGCTAATGTTGTTCGAGGAGACGGAGGAGGCACATTCTCTTTTAGATTCGCAGCTATTTGACGCACCGGCGATGCTATTCTAGTCGGAGGAGTATTTTGAATAGGCGTATGTTGCGCACTATGGATGGGTAAGCCAAGTGATTTTGTCGGCGGTGTTGCTGGTTCCGGAGTTTGAGCGGAAGTGAGAATATTTGGAGGTTTTTTAAACTCCCTGTTAGCAAATAGAGGCGCTATGTCACCCGTTGGGAGATCTTTCAGATCAGAGAGCGAGCTTCTTCTCTTTTTTCTCGAAGTAGTGGTTCGTCCTACAACAGGGTTTTCGACAATGGAAGCGAGGGAAGGCTGTGTACTGCTATTAGAGCTGGTTGGGCGGTTAACTTCTTCATCTTGAGCAAATATTGTCTGCATAAGAGGCCGATCTCGGGATCGAGGTCTTAGAAGACTATGCAGACGGCTGTCTGTATCTGTGGATTTAGATCGCATTAGTGAATTCTTGGAGAGGAGAACATCGTTCTCCGAAGCTCCTTTCGATTTGCTCAAAGATCGAATAATAGAGCTGACTTTGCCCTCCCCGTCTTTAATACTATTTTCCCGGCTCAATCCAAATCCAAATCGCTTTCTGAATGACGATGCATTCGAACCAATTGATCCAGGAGCTAGTAGGCCTCGATTTATTTCGTGAGCAAGATGTCCCTCAGATGCCGTAGGTCCAGATTCATCAAATAATCTTTCAAAGTCTTCAACAAGCCTGTCAAGGAGGGGTATTGTTTTCCTTGCGTCGTTGTCCTCAGTGAGGATTTCGGAGAACACATCCGTTAATGCGCCTCTGTCACCATCGTTCCCAGAGTCATTTAACAACTGTGCAAGCAGCTGTATCAATGCTGTAAGCGCACGGCGGGTTTGTGGACTCATCTCAGACAGAAAGCCATGGAAATAGTCCTCAAAGTCCCCAGGAAACAAGGCATCAAATTTAGCTAGAAGAATCAAGAGGGAAGTTTGGGGTATTATCGGACCAAATTTCTCCTTCCAAGCCTTGTCGAGGAAGGTCTCGAAAGCAACTATCAGCATATCAACAGGGGACTCTGCGGCAGCTTGAAGTTGAGTTGGGTCTTCTAGGAGAATATTGTAAAGCTCATTTACTGCCGCCATATCGACACGGTCTCGGGACCTTAGTACGCGACCGACAATATTTCCACTTCTTGAACGGATCGCAAGTATATAAGCGGTGAATGTCTCTTCCAATTGCTCAAGTGGACTTGCGGTTCCATCGGGAATGCTTATACCCCCATGAGGAAGCTTTTGCGGAGAACCATCGTCTAGGCTGGCATTCGATGATTGGGGTTGCAAAGTTGGCACATTGTTGGACAAAGCTGGGAGTGATGGAAGCGATTTTGAAGGAGCATGACCAAGGTTTTTAGGTTGGCTGGCGCTCCAAAGGGTAGATAACAGCTTTGTTGGGGATGGTGGCCGGAATGCCTTAGATCCCTTGGAAGCACCCAAAATATGTTGAGCAACGACGCGCAGGATGTTGAAGTTGCTTTGTAGAATTATCTCAGTAAGTAGGGGGTTTGGGCTTTGAGAAAGAGGGCAAAGCAGAGTCGTAACTAGGAAAATGGTTTAGTCATTGTATCTCTAACCAGGAGCATTTACTTACTTCGTTTAGACAGGGTAGCAGTAAAATCTTCCGCAGAAAATGTGTCACTGGATGGAGTACCGACGACAGAATCCAAATCCATCCTAAACCTGGAGCCTCCCAGCATAGGGAAAATCGATGCAACGACTTCTATCTGACTAGACTTTAGTTGATCTGCCAGGGTTTCTTTTGTAGCATCCACGATCAATTTGACACTAGATGGAAACTTGGGAATATCCGGCTCCGTTTCGTCATGTTCAAACACACAAATCATTGTTCCCAAATTGCCAAACGCCCCCTTTGAAGTATGGAGCGACCATTTCCCTCGTTCTCTATAATGCTCTGGGAATCTTCCTTCAATCTTGGCCTTGGTGATCTCTTCAATAAGTTTGGTAGCCTTCCCTTCGTACGTTGATGTAAGTTCAAGAGTGAGAATAATATTGTGGGAGCGCAAATGCTCGTTTTGAATAAAATTCCGGGCCGGAACAAGATACAAGATACGTCCACATTTAGACTGTGAGCAACGAATACTGGTAGTGAGAATATGTTGACCAAACATAAGGTCTAATGGGAGTGAAAGCTCCGTGCTATCGGTATCAATATCCGCTCTAGCCTTGTCAATTTCAGCGCAGAGTCCACGGGCCGTCCACTTGCTTTCTGAGTGTTTAGTTAGGAATACTAAACAATCAGCAAAGAGCAACAATATGCCTGGTTGACCTCTTGTGCCTGACGAGCCTGATCGGAAAGGGGGTAGGAGGGTATACACGTCAACAGCGGTAATTAAACGGCCAGCTGGCGCTACAGATTCTGGCCACTCATGGACTATCCTTCGCAAGTGTATCAAAGTCTGGGAATGATCAGAAGCCGAATATGAGTCTAGTGAACATATTTTTGTGACCGTATCGCGCGCCTTTAGAAACGACTTCACAGCTGGGTGCATTGATGGAAGAGATGCAGTCATAGTATCAATTAAGAGGCTGTATCGTGGAAGACGCTGGATTGGCTCCATAAGTAACGAACGCATCCGCTGCTCTCCAGTCTCATAGACCCGTTTAGAAAACGAGGAATTCTGATCGCCCAGAAAAGAATTGAGGAGAGAGTAGAATCCCGTATGGGCATGCATATATTGTCCATACGGCTTGGAGAAACGCGGAAGCCAGTCAAGCAAGCATTGGGCGAAAGCAATTGCGCCCAAAAGATCATTTCGTCGGCCAGTTGTTGGGTCACGAGGGAAAGTTGATGGGTCAAGCATGGTATCTTGGGATAGGTCTTCTAGGGCATCTTTCTCTGTTTCCTCGAGGACAAGGCGTATAGCATCCAGAAATCCCATATTCACTTCAAGTATCTCGTTAAGGCAAGGTGGAAACAGCTTGGCTAACGCTGATTCATCTGGACTTGTACTCGTCGGTGCTTTCGCCCTCGCTTTTTGGCAAAATTCATGCGCAACATTGTGGACGAGGTCATACATTTTATGAACATATCTTTCTTCCGTATCGACAAACTCGCACATGGAAAGCCGAAGGGCTTCTTTTTGAGTAGTGGAAAACAACTTAGACTTGCTGAGGTTAGAAGGTTTCGACGGAGCTCGGCGCAACTTTGAGGTAGGTAAAAAGATAGGTTCACCCAGAGAATCTACTAGTGGTGCAAGTTTACCGAACCGGTCAGCAAACTTCTCATGGATAGGCGACTCGATGCCTGATTCACTATATCCTAGCAGTGACTGGCGTGACGATTCACCCGGTGACATTGGGACCGTTATAGTGCCCGTAGGTACAATTAAATCAATGTCAACCCATGGAACAACCCTATCCGCGAACGCATCTTTCAGGTCGCGAACCACTGCTGCTGGATTCTCCACTTTTTCCATCTTATCTGCGAGATCTGCTGCATGCAGCTCATCAAAGAACTGCAGTGGTTTGGAGCTTGGTCTCCCTGGATGTGCGAGCGCAACCAGCTCACTTTTCACGGAATCTGGAATCTCCGAGAAGTACTTAAATAAACAGACTGCCAGCCCTCGGTAGACTTCGTCACCCTGCCTTTCGCGTGGTAGGTGGTTTACAGCCGCATACAGGGGAGCAGCCGGCGATACAGTGATGCGCGGATAGCTTTGTAGGCCATCTGCAGCGAAAATATGGACTTGGATGCGCGAGCTATTGAGGGTTGAGTTGGCCGTAGTTGCAGGCCCATGGAAGACAAATATCGAAGACAGGACCGGGTCGACCGCGTGGTAAAGAGCGAGCTGCTCGAGTGGAAGGCTCGCGCAGGAGCTCGCCGCGGAAGCCATGGCGACCGATTCGAAGAGATGACGTAGAATCGACGACACAAATACGTCGTTTGTTTGTTCGGCGCGTTATCGCAAACGGTACTCCGTACGAAAGCAAGCACTTCTTCGAATCTTGCCGTTAAAGGGGGGCGAGGGGCCGTCGCTTTTTCCACTCCTTTTATTCAACCAGTGATCTACCAGGCCTCTCCAGCTCTCCTGAAGCATATATGCGGTCTATCGTGTCTTCTGTTCGCCAATCGACGTCTAGCCAGGCGAGGAGGCTTCCCCGAGCGCGGTGTTCTTCCTTTCTCACGTTGTAACTCTGCTGGCCAAGGGGGAGAGGGGGGAGTTTCCCTTCAGAAGCGCGTCATGCTAGCTGATGCACGACAAAGCTTTGTCGCACACAAAATGGGGAACCGAAAAAACCATCCACGGGTCTGCGCTTCGCCAGGAGAGGACGGCCGTCGCGGTTGTTTTGGGCAAGATGCGTGTGCAGCGTGAGATAACTAATTAATCAGCCCATCGGAAAAGGTACGAACCACAAACTGAGATCGATCTGGTTATATTAAGCAGCGCCAGGTTGGCGGCCGCTGATTGGCTGCGGCTGTGTTAAGCGCGTTTCAGCCGAGCTCCACTTGCGAACAACAATGACAATCTACCAATTTCCTCTGCGTCGACAGCTACGGAGTACAAGCAGTTACTTGACACTTTTAACAGACGTTGACGGAGTATTCGTCTTATAAGGATGTACGGGACGCAAGTAAGAGAACCCAGACCAAACCAACAGGTCGACTGAGACGAGTTGGGAGGAATTCTAAGTTGAGTCGATCTGAATTTGGCCAGAAACATAATCAATAAAGACAGGACGAAGAAGATACAAAAAGCAAGCGATATGCCCAGAAAGAAATTCAGCCGGCTTCCAGTGAACGTCTAACCAGATGTGTCGACAGGTGCAAACCCAGCGTCAAGGATGTCAAAAACAGGGAGCGTCATATACCACAACATGCCCGGCCTTGCCGGGGTGGCCGTGTGAATGGAACAGGCAACTCAGGTGCTTGCTAAACTATACTGCACGTCATGGACGAAAATACCTAGCCATATGGTATGGATCGTGCCCTCTCAGGAGCCCCAGCCCTAATTCTCGAGGTTAGCATTGGATCCAACCTAAACACACACAGACCAAACCAACCTTCTCCTTCAACTTGGCATGATATAGGTGATCCCGATCTCTTCTTGTGATATGGCTGTCCCTGGATCCTGCGGTGGAAAAAATGCTCCCTTCCCTTTTTTGAAACCTGGATGGTGGAACTTGTGCCGCATCTTTTTTAAAAAAAGAAAAATCACCGTCAGTGACGCCACTTGAGATGTATGGGATTAGCAATATTTCGACTTACCCCATTCCTTGCTCATCCGTCTGTCTCTTGGTGGCGATGATCCGAGGGATGACCCAAGAGCTGAACCCTCACTTCCCTTACGCTCAGGCGCGGAAGTTGTCTTATCCAAGCTGTCGGAGCCTCGCCTGTCGGCAAAGGGGTCATTGTTGAGACCTTCCATCGGCCTTCCGGTGGTTTGACACGGGTTTGTTTGGTTGGCTATTGCAATTCATAACATAAGCCTCGGGTATTCTTGCTGATTGAAATTGCAGTTATTTACTTACGATCAACGTTCATTTGTTGGTCAGAAGATGCCATGAGGAATGTTTGGCAGGTTGTGAACGTAGGCGAAGACGTTATACACGACAGATGATAACGTTCTTCCAAGTGAAGAGTGAAGGTAGGTTACACGCTGGATGCTGGTGCAATAGATAGGAAGATCTTACTTATATCTGATAATCTGAGGTGAGAGAATATGTGAGATCATAGGGTGGACCAAGTGTTGTCGGTTGGGAACAAAAAGAAGGCAAAAATGCCAACTTTGATGGCGAGTCGAGAGGCCCTTATATAACTATTTCAAAAAACTTTCCTGAACATGAGAGGCGGTAGATCTCACATGTATTCGGACAGTAAGTATGTACTTTCTCCTGGGGCGAGGGGTGCGTACCTCGACGGAAAGTTACTTACTACGACCCGATTCAAGGGGTGAGTAATAATACGCAGATACATTATCGCCGTTTAGCCTCTGTCCCACAACACACGCAAATGACAGTCATCCAGAACACCTGCACAGCCAATATTCTTCAGTTCTTGTGTCCGCGTAGCATGATTGCAGGCTGTGAATATTGCCCTTATCGGGTACGGCCTGTATACATACATCCGCCGGGACTTTGCTTCACTGAGGGGTAGGCTAAGGACAATGTCCAGGAATCGTGGAGCAGCCATGGTCTAGAGTTCAATTCCTCCAATACTTGAACCTTCTCATGCGCTCTATTCCTAGTTAAGTCGGTTAAGTTAGAGCTGAGTTATGGATTCCAAGCATCTTGTATGGATGTGGATCCTGATAACTAATGTAATGCGGAGTAAGGGGTGTCATAAGCAAGGAGCGACCTGCCAATGGCTATGGAATGGCCAAGGCCTGGCGAATCTTGACGAGAACCTTGTCCAACGACGATATTCCCTGTTGCATACGCTTTTAGAGAACAGTCAAGTGTGTGGCTAGTGGTTCGAATGCTGTGAAACTTATCCCCAAAGTGGCGAATTGGGGCAGTGATAGAAGTATCCATGTCCCACCATCTCATTCAACTCTCCTCTGTACCGCAACCGTTTGGCCAGGAGGGAATTGCTAGGCGTTAACTAACAACGCTGCAGAGTTTCTTTCGCTTGTCTTAGCCTAACTACCTGATGATCCAGAAAGAGGCATGTCGTGTGCTCGCATGGCTTGACACTAAGTACTGCCCTAGAAAAGAGGAGAATACTGACAAGAAGTCATCTTTAGTCAGCCACGACCGCGTCTTTGTTCCTTTAACGCATTCAAGCGTATGATTGTCGGGTGATGTGGGACTCTGTTCGCTGGAGATTCGTATAACAAACTCGCTGCATTCCAAGCTAGTAAGCCACGCGAAAGACAAGGGCGAATCTCCACCTTTGTTGAGAATATGCCTGCGAAAAGTTGACTCTTATGCAAGCATTCGATCGACAATTTGCAGGGCCTTCTCTCCAGACGGAGCACAAGGAGGGAACGAAGAATGGCGTATCGTAACCGCTGACCCTGGCCCCTGCATCATCGTCATCATAACGATGATGATACGTCGATACGTTATCGTCCTTTCGTGAGATAATGCGAGTGCATACTGTCATCTCTGGCCATCCAAGACGGTTCAAGGCCGTCATCTCTTAGACGATAAACAATATCGTGCTGTCATAGGCAGAGGAGAGGAAGGCTTACTGATGACTCAACGGTCCTCGAGAGGAGACAACTGCCCCATGACGCCTTCCAACATCGTGTTCTAGCCTTCTAGGCCACAGCTCGGTCATACCTATGATAGACTATTCTGCGACTGAGCAGCCATCCAACAGTTGCTTCTAGCACTCGCGGAATGGCGACGTTGTCCGTCTTCGCTATGGCCGACATCAAAAGGAGAAAATACTGAACAAGGAAGGAAGGAGCAAGGAAGATAGGACTTTCCCTTTCTGGCGGATGTGGGGCGGGGCCATCAGGTGGCCTATGCATATTATGGGGTAAACTTTATATATAGTTCTTATCTAATAAATATTCACGTGATGTCACGGGGCTGGACTGGCCCATCGCCGAGACCGCATCTCTTGGCATGACTTCGTTCTCCTCCAGACCTTGTCCTTGAAATGGAACATACACCGAGAAGTTGTATACTAGTACAAGAATACTTATGCAATACCAGGGACCACAAGGAAGCAAGCTTTTTAGGGCCATGTCCATAGAGCTACCGAGCATTTCATAACGTCGGCGAAAGTGCCCTTGACCCTGCGTCGTTTTTGACAACCAAAGGTCGTGTGGCCTTTCCGGCACAGCCACGGTCAATCACCTAACTAGTCAGCGCTGAAACGGCTGCTTTCAGGTGAAGTTTAACTATAAATCTGGTTTGCTGGCAGGGCATGTGATCGCTGTCATGCTTGACACGCCCTTGCTGGCCATGGGGATCTGGGCTACCGTGTTAGACCTGCGGGTGTGTCAAGCTTCATTAGCCATGGTAATGGTTACGACCCCGGTTAGGGCTGAAGGAATACGCAATCCTCGCACAGGGCCTGGAAAGATAAAAAAAATAAAACATAAAACATAAAATGAAAGATATGCTTCCATGCTAATTATCTAACTACCAGTATACAGAAAAGATGCACATATTTTCAACTGAAGTCATTAATGAGCCTTTTTTTTTACTCCACCTCATCGGCAGGTTCAGCTGCCGTTGGCTCAGCCTGTCCCACTTCCGCTTTCTCTGTGTCTGCGGTGCTGCCCGTATCGTTTGGCATATCAACCCTTTGATCCTTGCTATCAACGGGATCCGGATTACTCTGCTGTTTTGCCTCGGGCCGCATTGTGCGACTACCCCCATGTCTGGAAGACGGTGCGTCTGCAGGAGTAGTGGGAAATATCTCTCCAAAAAGATTGGGGAGGAAGCGGTCAAGCCGCTTTTGCGTTTCGGTCCATATCCTTTCCTTTCCAGGATCATTATTCGGTGGTGCGACTAGATAACCCCCATTTGCCATTACTAGGAGAATGTTTTTCAAACTCTCAGGCACAGCCTCTTCCTGTAAGTTATGCCAAATACGTTAGCCAACGTTGTACAAAGTTGATGAGCGACAGTCAAAGGAGATGTAGGACTACGCGTTATGACCCGGCAGCCTTCCCATCTCAAAATAAAAAAGTGAGGAAAACAACGCAGAAAGAGCCAAAATGCACTTCAAAGTCAAAAAGATAGGGAAAGAGGATGTCTTACAAGGCTGTCTCCTTGCCCGCTATTCATCATTCGATCCAAGATATCCAGAATTCTCAGCCACAGATCCAGCATACCTTCACCCCATTCGGAGAGTAAGACGAGGTAATGGAGGAATATTTTGCAGAGAAGTGTGGCAGCCTGAACTCGCGTCTCGCTCATGCCTAAGGGGTCT